ATTGGTATCGGCCAAGAAAATCTTTATTGGTGCACCCCTAATATCTGCACATTTCGTTTGCCGTGGTATAATTGATCTTCTAGATCAGGATGAGGTTTGCTTACTAAAACTCATGGCAGTTGCAAATGAAACAGAATAAATACTACACAAGTCCAGCACAACAAACACCCTGGTTTAGCAGACACCACATGGCCCTAGTGTCGGTGACAGCAGTGGCCTCAGAATCCAGCACAAAATATGCAAGCAGAACTTACATGTTCTTAAAGTCCAACCTCTCTCTATTCTCCGCCCAATCTGAAATTATCTTGTGTAATGGCAATTATCTGTTTCAACTGAACATCCTGGAGAAAGATCCTGTTTCTTGACACCCTTGCAATGCCAGCAGTTACACTTGTGCAAAATGAGCATGCTCCAGTTTGGTATTTTCTTTTACATTCACACTATAGTGCCTAACAATGTTCCTAGCAAGGAAGACTCAGATCCAATATATCAAATCTGGGCATCTATAACAAAAGTCAGTCGAGGGATCTGCTTCAATTAGTTTTAAGGATACAGGGAGTCTTCAGGAGGCATGTTCACTTCACCATAATAAATGTATCTCAGCATAGACTCAAATGCTTGTTTACTGGGAACCATTTCACCTATAGAAATATTTACTTGTCCATCTTCTGGCATGAAAGAACGGAACATAGCTTCAAAGTAACTGGGAAAAAAAATATGACTCATGTAGTATACAAGTGTTAGAGATACAATTCTACAGACCATGTTTAACCAACCCTACTCAAATGTAGCTACAAGGCACTGCGACTTCTATACAAGTTACTTAAAACCAGGCACCAGCTGGAGCATGATAAAGCTGCCTCAAAGGTGCACTCTCCAGCCAAGAGATGACAGCGAAGGCTGCTCTTTTACTTCCTCTACCCTACAACAGAGAAGCTGTCTCCAGCTTATGCTACCATGGGCATCAGCAGGAGGTAGTAGTGGCAGAGGCAGCCCTTGGCTGTCCACAGGGGCAACAGCGCATGCTCTCCTCACTCCCACTATCCTCACAGGCAGGCAGAGGCTGTGCTCAACAGCCTCCAAAAGCTCCCAGCAGAGGAGAGGACAGGCTGCCTTTGACAGCCACTGCTCCAGGCACAGGTCCCAGTCCTACAGCAGTGCCTATCAAAGACAGCTCCCTGTGGTGATGAGAGCTGTTCTTGTTGGCACCACTGTTGTGAAAGCACCAGCAACAGCTTGTGCATTTGCTGCAGCAGCTGATCCTGTCGCCAACAGCATCACAGCTGTACCAGCTCTTCCTATTATTCCTGCTGTGATGTGGTGGGGCCCCTCGCCCTCCTCCTGCTCCCCCATATGCAGGTGGCCCCTCGCCCTCCTCCCACTCCCCACAGCCCCAGGCAGCCCTTGCAGGCTGGAACTCTGCCAGCCTCCACGGTGAAATCCATGGCTTCCTGGGTTTTTTTCTCCTTTAAAAGTGAAAATATGTGGTTTTCTCCTTAAAGGAGAAAAGCCACATTTTTCCACAGGAAATGGAAAACCCAGGTCCCTAGTGATAACTGCCCACATGCACACACTAATGCGAGGCAAGTGCAAGACAGCTTGCCCCTCAGTTTAAAAGAAGGGGTAAAGAGCATGTGCATGGTCAGGCTCTTACGCAGACACACTATTAATTCACACTCCAGCTTATTTTTCTGTAACCTGTTTGTGGAACCATAACTAATGACTAGCTTAATTACCCTTATTGAACAAACCCCTGTGTTACTCAGACCTCTTCTCTCACCTAGTTCAGAATAAGCTGACCCAAGAAACAAATCTAGGATTTTGGGGAATTGTTTCTATGCATAAAATCTCCTACTTCCCTAGTGAATTATGACTTAATTGCAGCAAGTAGTAGGTCTGACTGGACATACCTGGAGCGGGCTGCAAGAATAGCCTTATGGGCTGGTCTTGGATGGCCGTCTAACAGTAGAATGATATCACAGAAATCCATCCCAGCTCCTTCTAGATAAGCCTTCATGTCCTGAATCAAAGATGTGCCTGAAGAAAAGCAACATAGTGAGGTGGTTAAAAATAAAACATTCCACATGATTAGCTTCTATAAAGTTAACAGAAGGTTGAACCACTTCTACCAACAGGTTTTCCTTCAGGAGGTGATTGGCAAATAGCCACTTCATTACAACCTTAGAGCAGAACATGTTTAATTCCAGCTAGTGCAGTTGCTTCAGACTGCGCAGCAGTTGTTAACCTGTAACTGCTACATCTACATCATCCTGTAGTAATAAAAAAACTACTGTAACTTTGATGCTGAATGAAGCAGGGATAAAGTTGGAGAGGTTTTGCTATATTTTTACTTCTACAAAATCATGCAGAGGTAACATCTGTTCGTAACAGCTCGTTTCAGTATCCGTCGATAGCAATATAATCTCTCTCTACCTTGGATCAGACCTTGATGGGGATGTTTGGCT